CATTTTCTCACTTAGAGGCTAGAACCCTCTTTGAAGTTAGTTTTTATTTTCATTCTCTCCCTTTTATTTATTTATTTTTATTTTCTAAGATGTGGAACTAATTCTTGTAGGAATTCTAGAATTGCATGAACTAGTTAATTCCTTTTATGAATTGTGAATTACTCTCTCGTGCTTAAAATGATCATATTTATGATAATCAATTAGAGAACTAAAGGGTAGGAGGAATTCTAGAATTATCATCTAGTTATAGTTCTTTTCACGAATGTTAGTCTTGCTTAGATGATAATTTGATAGGTTATGTTTTCCTTAAGTAGTTTGATAATCTATGCTTAATAAATCTAAAGTAAATGTGATAAAAAGAGAATTGTTCATAATTTATAATTGAAATTGATTAATGAATTCAATTCTAGATTCCTCATATCTCTAATTAAATCGCCCATCTTTACCTTCTTTATTTTCCCCTTTGTTCTTGATTTCTTTTCTTTCTTAATTTTATTTTCCTTTATTTCTTTCTCTCCTCTCAATCTCCATTTGTTTTCCTTCGCATATTATCACATCCATCCTCTTTATCTCTCTACAAATCATATGTTTCACTCCTAATTGTCACACACAACATAAGAACCAATTTGGATAAATTCCTACAAACACATCCCTCATGGGATCAATAACTTTTTATACTATAACTTGATAGTTGTGCACTTGCAACTTTTAGTTATCATTTATACCCTATCAACTTTGTCCCCTAGTCTAGGGCTTGATCCAACCCGACTTGACCTAACCATAGCAGTTCGAGTCGCGGGCCCAGCCACATTTTTTCACTTCAATTTTTTTCTTTTTAGTTTTTTTGCTAGATTAGTGTATATAGTGTAGGGTCTTGTTTTGCTTATGTATACCAAGTGTAGGATCGTGACCCTTAAGAATAGAGTGCGTTCTTATAAAAATCTGCGGAAGCTTTACACTTAAACACTAGAGGGTGAGTTTGCAAAGTAGATTATAATTGCTAAGAAAGAATGGCAATCTCAGAAAATGAACATCACAAACACAAGCATGTATACTGGTTTCACCTCCCCGGTGTACATCCAGTCCCCAAGCAAATCCCGCTTGAGATTTCCACTATAATTTTGAAAACCTTACAAAATCAAAAGCAAACCTGACCAATTTATAAGACCATGCAAATTGCAACACTAATTGACAAGACCATGCCAATTGCCACCCAATCTCTAAACCAAGAGATCAACCCTCTCAAACCCGAGAGAAATCCTTTTTGAAGCAAGAACACAATTGATCCTATAAGCCTTGAATGTATAGTGAAGTGCTGCAGTGACTTAGGTTTCTTTTACCTATCTGAATATTGCCTATACAATCTCTAAGAATGATTAAAACCAAGACAATATCAGAAACTCTCTTTTTCTGAACACTTAGCATGAAAATCTGGAAAATTAGAGAGTGAATATGCACAAAATATTTGATCTTGCAAGTGCAAAACTTTTTGCTTGTTTTCTGATGTTTAAACCTATTATAGCCTCTGAAATGACATAATTTTAAACCCAATTAACGTCCACAAAATGGCTATAAACAGTCACTTATTCAAAACCTAAAATCTGGAAAAACTATATCTGTAGTCGACTACAAGTCATAGTAGTTGACTACACTGAGTCTAAACAGACTCTGTGAAGTCAGAAAATTGATTAGTAGTCGACTACAAGGCATAGTAGTCGACTACACTGTAAACTCACAGATTATGGAATTTTCTTTTCAGTGTTTTGGCTGTAACTTTCTCATCCGATATCAGAATGAGGTGATTTAAGATTGGTTAGAAAGCTGTTGAAGAGATCTACAACTTTGATCTTTTGAGTTTTTCCAGATTCTAATTGCTAAGGAGTGTAAATAAAATATTTTAAGACTCACTCAATATCTATAAACTCTAATGGCTAACATAGGGGATTTTTATTGTTAACCAACACACTAAGCATGTGTTAGTGTGTTCTAACACTATGTGTGTACATGTGTGTGAGTGATCAAGGCTTGTACAAATTTCTAAGCAAAGAAAATATAAAATTACATTAGTATATCTTCTTCTTTGCTTCATTTTGCCTTGAACTCATCTATGTCTTGAGTATCTCTTTGAATATAATTATTGATATAGCTCTGATACTGCAAAACAAATATTAGCACATAATACACACAACATATTATATTTGTTATCATCAAAACAAACTAATCTTGGGGTCAAGATTCCTAACATATAGTTTAACGAGGAAACATGTATTTTATCTTTCTAAAAAAATATGTTATGTCATCAAATAACCTAAGTGCTAATGCTCCCCAAAGAGTCGACAAGTACCCCATATTATTGGGGCATTTTCTCGACTCGACCATAGGCAATGGTAGTCCATTGAGTCATCACTCTACCCTTAACAACAAGGACAAGTCAAAGAGAATTTCAATATCACTATTGGAGTTGACCCTACACCTTATCATTCTACAAGGCCGGATCGACAAATTTTGAGGCCAACTCAAAGAGCGGTACTTATCGGCTTGCTAGCAAGATGGAGACAAGAAGCATCCTTTGTCAACCCACTCGCAAAGTCGAGTAGAAAAGCGGTTTGTCTTCGAACTCCTTGCCGACAAATGGTCACCATCCCATCGTAGGCTTGGTCAACGTCATCATTGCTCTAGTTATGAAAGTCTACATTACTCATAGCCCTTCGTCAAAAGTATTCCTCCTTAGTCGGCATCACATCAAAATCATAGGTGACTAATCTCATCTGCAATCGATATCTATGGAATATATGCCGACTCAGATGTATGTCTGGGCTCGACCAAAGTTACATTTACATCCCCTCAGCCGGGTATAAATAGGCTCATCACCTACTGACCAAGGTAAACAAATCTCTTGCCAAATAATGCAATTTGAATGCAATTGCTGCACACTTACTTAGAACTTGTCAAATTCATTGATCCCCTTATGATCGTAACTGACTTGGTTGTCGGAGGAATCACTATAGAATCCAACTCTGGTCCTCTAATATGTAGCGGTTTTGCAGGGCTCTCATCTTATTAGGGAATCAGCCATCAAAAGGGGCGAAGGGACCCCAACATCTTTGATGTCGACCCTAAACCCTAATGTTGTTCGGCATTACCCTCTAATCCCGTTGTTAAGAGCTCAAACACCAACAAAGTCTAAATCTTATATATTTGTAGTTGGTGATGGAATTATTTTGTCATTAAGCATTTTAGTAGATCAAAATGACTATATATATTCATCAAAATACTAAATAGAGGTTAAAAAAATCTCTACTACTAAAATTACAACTCAAACCCTTGGAGGTTGTACTTTTTAATTGAGTTGCTATTAAAATTACATCAAAATATAACTATTACATATGGCGGCTCGGTCGAGCGGGGCCAGGCTTACTTCTTTATCCATGAGTTTAGAATGAGACCCAACCTAGCTAATGGCTCAAATATATCATAGGTCAATTTGGGCCCGACTCATTGTGTGCTAGGCTAGGTCTTGATCCAAGATGAGCTAGGCCAGTTTAACCCGCGGTTCAAACTGGTCTATACCCACCCCTTTGTTAGATATTTTAAGAGTAAAGACCCGCAGGCCTGTTTGGCAATTTAAGTTAAACAATTTTAGTGGAGTCAAACGGGCTCATGTGCTTAGCCCTTGCTTGGCAAATGAAAATGATAGAGCGAAGTAGCATTTAGAGGTCAACTTTTGCTCATTAACTAAACTAGAAATAAACCATGTCCCCCGTTGGTTTAAAAGAGAACTAGTTCAAATAGAATCTAGTATAAAAATTAGCCAAACTGAGTTTGAACTACAACTAGTTAAATTTAGTTTAGCTTAACCCACACAATGTTCAAAACTATTCTAGGTTATTCTCAAAGTTGCCAAATGGAATCTTGGTATTGCAAAAGTAGAATGAGTTCCCATGCCTCTCATTTCCTCTCCGATACCCATGTTTGCTTGACATTTTGCTTGATCGTGACTTCGTGAGCCTTTAAAAAGTGAGTACCCTCATCAAGCACGATGCAATGGGATACGCCGAGGAATGGGTCAGTGTGCTCAGATCGTCGTCAACTCGATTGGTTGTCGTAGTTGAGAAAGTGACACATGGCAGTGATTAAGCCAATATCGTATAAAGAATTAAGTAGGAAGATATTATTCGAACTGTTGTGTCACGTGGACGACTCAGTTGAATGGCTACGGATGCATTCGGTCCGGATACGGCTCGGATATGATGCTTATCATATCCATATCCGCTTACCCATCTCGGATACGGATACGAATACGGATATACCTTGGTAAGAAAAATTTATAACCATATCCGCTAAAATCGGATACGGTTACGGATATACATACAGATATATAAGCGGATATGCATGCAGATACAAAACAGATATGAGAAAACTAGATAGTATTGAGAAAAACATAGTTCATGTGATACAAAAGAGTTCGTTAATATGTCCATTATAACTAAAAAGTTAAGATTGGACATCTTGATCATCAAAATTAACCACAAATCTATAATCTAAGAATAAAAACTATTGTAAGAGTATGACTAATATGTATTCGGATATTTCGGATACGGATACAGATATTTCACTACAAAACTGTATTCATAACCATATCCTATCGGTTATAGATTTGAGTAACCATATCCGTATCCTAACGGATATGGTTACAGATATTTCATCGGATACGGATATGGTTTAGCACCTCTAGCTGATCCACAACATTAGAAGCGGGACACTTTCCACCGAAGAAAAATACGTTGGCCCCTTAATATAATAAGTACATATTTCTAGTGTAGTATCCTCGCTTTTATTTCTAAAATGTCATTTATATAGAAATATTTAGCATATGCAGAGAAAATTGTGACGTTACATTCGGGAAACCTAAAACCCGTATCCAAATCCGATAAAAAGTAACGGGCGTGGATCCAGAACGCCAGCTAGCAAAATTAATAATATCAAGAAAATAATAAAGAAATTGATTATATAAAAGAGGGGGGAAAGCCTTTCCCCCCTCCCACCCTCGTGATTAAGAAAACCCCCTGTAAAGCGAAGCTCGATCGAGTCCAAATCTCACCACAATCGCTCGTTGATTCGGTTTTTCGCCGGCGATCGCAGCGCAAACCCTAACAATCTCAGCCTCAAGCAATCGGTATGCGCCTCGATCGATCTGTTTAGGTTTTCGTTCCGCATCTTGGTAGATCTCATCAAATTAATCAATATTGTGTTTTTTGTGCAAATCTATTGGTTGTTTATGTTGTTTTTTTGACGTAGATCTAGGGGTTTGTTTGCGTGCTTTGGTTCTAGGTTTAGCTTATCATCAAGGAGAGCGCAATTACATTCTTAATATTTGCAACTAATTAGGGGATCTATGATCAAAGTTAAGTTTTATCTTGTGGGCTTACGCCGAGTCTCTAACGTTTCGCTTCATGAACTTTTTTCTTTGGTTATTTGCTTTGGGGAAGAGGCGGAATTTATACGAAATAATGTTGCTTGTGAATGCGTATTAGTTTTGGATGGATTTGTATTAATTCACCAAACTCGCATTCAGATTGGTGATCATCATTGTGGAATTGGGTTGAAACAAACCCATATAGCCAACTTATACATGGTTTCCTTATGTTTCGAGCAGTGATTCGCCTCTAAGAGGGGTGGATGAAGCAATTAAAAAATATTTTCAAGAGAAATTAAACACGTTGGTGTTTAGAGCAGAGATGGGTCTCCAAGAGGGATGGATGAAGAAATTGAATAGCGTTTAAGAAGCGAATATCAATATGGGCGCATCTTTCCTGCGATGTCATGCTAATGCGCACATACACAGACATGCACATATTAGAGTCTGTAGGGGGATCAGTGCTTACATGTATCCTTGAGCACTAATTGCTTTTATTCTTAACAATGCAAAATGTTGAAAATACCATCAGCGATAAACTAATACCCCAGTTAGGCCGCTTAACAATGTTAACCAAATATTATGCTAAGAGTTTGACTAGACTGGCAGTATATTTGCAGCCTGGAATTGGAGTGCACATACAGATTTGAAATTTAGAATGTTTATCACATTCTTATCTCTTTTTAATAATCTGTTCCCGTTCTCTCATATTGTTATTTTCCTTATTCTCATATGCCGTTATTCTCATATTTATTTAGACTACTAGCCCTCAACATAGTCCTTCCCTATGTTACATGGGTACTTCTAATCTGAAGCCGTACTCGTATTGGACACGTACCCATACCCATACCCGTTTCCAAACTCCTTGGACACTCCTTTCATAAATGCATATATTTATTTGGGCATGTACTCAGCTGCACATGCTTTAATTTAAAACACTTGTCATAAATTTTTTGGACATATATCCCACACTTCACACCCACTTCTTGAATCTCGTTGGACATGGGGCATGTTTTGTATTATGATTTTGAAGGATCGTTTGGATATATGGTTCAAAAACTAGTGATGTTTCAATTTATAATCCACATAATAAGAGAATCATAAAACTGTTATAGGACTTTTAATTAATTCTCATCCTTGTTCTCATATAAATTATTAAATCAATATATAATATATGTATATATAAATATTTATATAGCCGTGTCCCTGAACCCTATCTTTTATAAATTTGTCATGTCCCGTACCCCTACCTATACCCATGCAACATAGGTCCTTCCACTTTCCATATTTGCTAGCAAATTCTCCTCAAAAACATCCAGAGTCCCAAGTATGATTTTAGCCTTGTGGAATATCGGAACATCTAGCCTGGTATCCACAAAAATTTATTTTCATATCTTTAAATTTCTAGGTATTGTAACTTTGTATACTATGTTTTAAGATGAAGTTGAGCTATAGTATTCTTTAGAAGTTTACGCTGTTCTTTTGGAACTCCAGTGAGAGAATTAAATAGTGCAGCCTGCAGTAATCTTCATATAGCTTGATGCAATTGCAAGATTGAAAAACTTCTATATTGGTACATTTTAGATAGTGAAATACTGAGATATTGGTCATCGGACCAACTTGCATTACACTATCTGGTGGTCAATTTTCTTGAAATTTGGAGTATTAAATTCGTCTTTTTACCTTTGAAGTTATTTCCTGTTACATTAGATATTTTTTTTCTCATGACAGAAATTTATAGTCACTAGGGCTCAGCTATTAGGAAGTAGATGAAGAGTCTTTGTTCACTTGTATCACATCGTTTTCTATGTTAATCTTAAACATACAGCATGGCATCATAATATTATGATTATTAATCTCATCCTTCTCTCTTTGCTTAACCAGGTTGATCAAGGATATCATATTTGAAAAACTTTTTTTGGTGTCCTTGTTTGTACATAAGATGGTGAAGCTGACAATGATAGCGCGTGTTACTGATGGGCTTCCATTAGCGGAAGGATTAGATGACGGTCGTGATCAGAAAGACGCTGAATTCTACAAGCAGCAAGCTAAACTTTTGTTTAAGAATTTGTCTAAAGGACATAATGAGGCTTCCCGAATGTCTATTGAGACTGGTCCTTACTTTTTCCAGTATCCTTTATTCTCTGTATTGCTTCTGGGTTAGACCTACCTGTAACTACTTAATATAACCTGACAATTCACTTCTTTGAATCTAGTGTGTAATGTGTATGCAAAAGCATTTTAATTGTTGACATATTCTAGGAATACGAAGCTGTTAAACTGAACCTTTGCTTTCACAAGTTGTGACTATTGTAAGCATGGATGTCAATAAAATATGGCACACTGCCCCATGCCAACTTCTAGTAAATACACCTAAAACAGTAATGACATGGAAAAAAACTTTGTTTTAATGCAACATAGTTTGGTTTGTAAGCATAGATATCAACAAAACATGATTCTGTGCTCCATATCAAATTCTGGAAAATACATCTAATAGTGATAACGTGGAAGAAATATCTATGAAGCTATCCTCCTTTACAACATTTGCATTTGATACCTGTTGGTTGAGTAGTTTGCTATTGTGCTACTTCTAATAACTACAAGTTTGGTGTGTGAGAACATTTATCTCATGCTACCACAGTTGTAAAGGGTATCAAATTATGTGGTGGTGCTTAGAGTTGCTTAAGTCAGGGCTTCATCCCATCAATTCGTGGGTCAGATTTTACCCAATCTGATATTTGTTAATTGGGTAGTTAATCTAGCCGCATCCAAATCCTTAATCCCATTATTGTTTTAAGAATTTCATATGCTGGCTTTCAATTTACGTGTCATGTCTCCTGCTCTCTCTGAATAACTATTAGTTGGAATGAACGACATTTAGAAGCTTCTCTAAGCATCAATAGCGAATTTAACGTTTTAATGTAATAGTGACTACAATCCTTTATTCATGTGATCATTACATGCTATTTTTCATTGGTACCCTTGACACAACTACACAGCTATATCATTGAAGGTCGTGTCTGTTACTTGACAATGTGCGATCGATCATACCCCAAGAAACTTGCTTTTCAATACCTAGAGGATCTCAAAAATGAATTTGAGAGAGTCAATGGGAGCCAAATTGAGACTGCTGCAAGACCATATGCTTTTATCAAATTTGGTGAGTTCTGTGTTCAATTGTCTGTGTCGTAGCACTTTTCCACACATAGACAATTTTTTGCTGACTTGTTGTTGTTTTATATGATATTAAAGATACATTCATCCAAAAGACCAAGAAACTATACATGGATACCCGAACCCAGAGGAACCTCGCAAAGTTAAATGACGAGCTTTATGAAGTCCACCAGATAATGACTCGCAATGTTCAAGAAGTTCTTGGCGTTGGTGAAAAATTGGACCGTGAGTTCATCTTGATCTTTTGTAGTTATTTATTTTATATTCCTTTTTTTACACAGTTTATTTCTTTGTTTTATCTATAGCTCTTAAAATAGAGCATTGATGAGTATCCTATTTAGGTAATATGATTTAAATATGCATTACAGAATATACAGTTCACTAGCTAGTTATGACTCTGCAGTTGCAGCTACTGTCATCTTTTTATTTCATTGTCGGCTTTCTATCTGATTGCCTACTCCAAATAATTATGTCACTGATGAGAACTTCAAACGTTAAGTGGTGTAAACTATTGCATTGATGGCAAAATAAAGCATTCCAGATAAAATGAAAAAAAGCACTCAGAACCTAACAGTGGTCGCTTCTTGTAGATTTTTAAATAGCAATTTAGTTGGCTGCTATAGAATTTTTTCAAGTTGATGGTCCATGGTTTACGTTTTACTGAGAGATACTTACCGTCTGCTAGAAACTTGATGCAAGAAAAAAGGTCAAACGATCACTTCAGCTTCACCTGTCTTTGCCTTTACCAGCATTATAAATGATGAAGGAGGAACCTGGCTTTCAGTTACAATTGCAGGAAAGGAAATTATAGGAGATTTTATTGATGGCAAGATAGATATAGTGATAAGACATGTTCTTTATTTTCTCTCCGTAATGTTGATATGAAATGGGAAAAATGGAAACAGATGGAGAGACAAGAAGGAAGCAATAATATGGTCAACAAAGTCGTCAAAATGCTCAGTTTCTAAGTGTCAAAAGTTGGATTTACTTGAAATCCTGGCTAACCTATATTCTAGTTATGTTTTTAAAAACAAACGTGGATACAAACATGTGCAACACTGGACACTTAGAAACAGAATCAGCATAATCTGAAATATTTCATATAAACAGAATCAGCATGTTAAGAAATGTAACGTCCAATTCATGTTTGACACAAAAATGGTTCTATAGTCATATTATCTGCTACATATTAATATTCCAAAATATGATGTTTAGAACCAAATTTACGCTTGGACTATAAAAAAATAGCATTAAAGGTTTAGCACTCTACAGGTAATGAAATTTTTGTCATGGTTGAAGTGCTTACAATTTTAAGATAATGGAAACCCCAGGGTGCAGTTAATATTTCATGCTTTCTTAGTTTTCTGTCCTTATTAAATCCTTAATATTGTTTTACGTGTACTCTACCTTTTGGCATATTTTAAAGCAGTAATTATGCAAACCCTATTTCTTAATGTGGATCTGGTATGATGTTTTCGTGCAGAGGTCAGTGAAATGTCTAGTCGGTTGACATCTGAATCTCGCATCTATGCAGATAAAGCAAAGGACTTAAATCGACAGGTATAATATATATGTTCTCTATTGGGTTATCTTTTAGTCAATTTGTTCTAAATGCACAGTTCTACTTTAGGAACTTATCCCATGTCATATATTTGTATGCCAAGTTGATAATGCATCATGAAGAACAAACATCTTTTCTTGGGAAAAGCGTAACAATGCATCATGAAGAGCCAATATCTTTAATTGGAAAAATCATACTTATGCATAAATAATTCAGAAAGTGGATGTTCATTGACACAATGAGTGAACACATTTTGCTATCAATTGATTTTTTTAATCACAAGTGGTTTACGGTCAAAAGCTTGACTTGATTCACTATCCCGATAGTCACACACAATAGATTTGGCATTAGGTCCTGTCTATATCTTTAGCTTAATAGTCATGGGCGAACATTTGTAATGTGATATTGTTGTGCATTTGTTTGTGTCATTATGGTTTTCCTTTTTAGGTTGATGAGATTAAAGAAGTGATAATCAGAGATTCCGGATATATAGGTGGAGAGAAGTTTTATAATCTCGAAGATGTCAAATTTTTAAGGTAATGTCTGACTGCACCTTTAGGAAAAAAGAGGAGAAGAGATGGGGCATAAAAGATGCAGGCAACTAGTCAGAGTTTAGTTAGTGGAGTGGTGAGGATTACAGGTATACCTAAATGGATGTGGAGCTGCAGCAGTTAAAAGGATGTGATATTCTAATTAATAGAGGAGATGGGCCTTGATAGAGCTGGCTGGAGATTTGTATAGGGCACACCAGACATGGGATAAAGTTGAGCTGCTGCTATTGTTGCATTAGGTTTTAATTAGTGTTTCCACTGTGCACAAAGTAGTGGGAAGTAAGAAAAGTGAATATGAAAAATGTTAGCTAGGCCTATTCTTCTTCCAATCCTCAGATGTAGCAAGCACGAGTTTGTGGAGGCAAGATAGAGGGGGTCTTCAGATAGTTTTTCTTGCTAACTCTAATGATCAAAGTTAATGTTTAATATGAGCTCATTATGTACTACTCCTATGGTTGTTCTGCAAGTTATATGTACTGGTACTGTTTCATCATAACTCTCTATTCTGTTACCGACTGGGCAACAACCTCACCTCATATATGATGAACCTCTTTGTAGGCATTGATTCGGAAGTGGGCACCCGTTGCCATTGTGCTTGGAGTTGTGTTGCTTCTCTTTTGGGTTAGGAAAAAGATATGGTGATTCTTTTACCTTGTTTACTATTTTGTACCCGAGCACGGTTCTGGCTTTTCTCCTCCTGTAAATCTGGGCATCATCCAGATCTGGCTCTTCAAATACTCCGATATATGTAAAGGGAGGTAGCAGGATGCTCTGCCCATCTCCTTTTAGAAATTTTACTAGAGGGTAGATTTGCGCGAAAGAATTTTTAATTTCTGAAAATGTTGAGAATGTACCTGACTAAAATATTCAAGTAGCTGCGCTTACTCCAATTCATACTTGTGATGTATAGACTGATGAATCTTTGATATGTGTTTCGCATTCTTAAAATATAATATGAATTTTAAAATCTGAACCGTTCCAAATTAAGGAAATGCTGTGTTGACTGGAAATTTGAATCTATGCAGGCACTCTGTGATTATGTATTCATGTTTAGTTTGATAATTCTGTCAAGGATTGCAGCCATGCTTATCAAGCATGAACTAAGCCATCAATTCTGTTGATCTCTCATTTCTGTCAGTTTAAAATGTCTTTTCATGAGTTTTTGTATATATAACCCCTGGAATTTATCCTGTTTGCAAATTTATCTCCCAAATATAGATATTTGAGTAGTTACCTCCTTGAAAAAAGATCTCTGACGTTACCTTTTTCTCCCTTTTGATTTTGAAATATGACTACCCTATAAGGGTGTTTAGGGGAGTGTATTTTCTTGTGAATTCAGTTTTTAAGCTTTGTCATTTTTCATATCTACTTGTTTAGAATCATCTCAAACGAGCCAACTGTATCATTTAAAATAGGGTTATTGCGAGATTAGCCCCTCAAATCTTTAATATTTTGATAATAGCCCCTCAAATCTTTGAAATTGCTCTCAAGCCCTTCCCAAATCTTTAATATTTTATATTAGCCCCCCAAATCTTTGAAATTGATCTTTGGCCCCGGAAATCCTATTAGTATGTTGAAACAAGCCCCCATCCTCGAGATAAATCTAGTTGAAATGGCAAAATATTTTGTTTACTTCAACTTTTTCGGTGATTTGATAGTTACACTCCTCTAATACAAACCCAAATTTATTAACCACTTTAATTTATACCCTTTAAGCTCCCCAAATTTGTTTAATAAAACCCTAACCCAAACTCATTCCACTTCATCTTCTCAATGTCTTCACCAATGGCTCTCTTCAGCTCCAATCCCAAATTTGCATCAGTTATATTCTCGATAGGGAAGACGTAAGAGAAACCTTAGGAGAAGATAAAGTGAAAAAATCGGTTTGGGGGGCCTGAGATCAATTTCAAAGATTTAGGGGGCTAATATCAAAATATTGAAAATTTAGAGGGGCTTGAGAGCAATTTCAAAGATTTGGGGGGCTAATATAGAAATATTAAAGATATGGGGGCCAAAGTCGAAATAGCCCTTAAAAATATTAAGACTCTTCAATTTTTAAAAACTAGCTTATAAGCTTGTATAAATAAGTTACATTTAACCAAGTAAATGACTTTTCCATCCGTTTAAACTTTATATAAATTTTATCATAAAAATCTAGAAGCCATACAAAAAACTAGCATAACTAATTATACAGCCTTCGAGCATATGAATCTGAAAAGTCCCAACTTACAGCACATATAATTGACGAAGGAGAATGCTAAGCTAGCATTTTGCTTGAGCAACCAAGTATATAAAAACATTAGAAATTGTAAGCCATTAAAAGAATGAATTAACTGTAAGTTACGTAATAGTACAATTATTCTGTCTCAAAAATATATTTTGATTAAGAAAATTCCATCACAAAAATTAGGCTTTTATTTTTCCATGTTAACCTATTTAAGATCTTTCAATAAACTAAGACCTTGACCTAAGACGAAATCACAAGATGAATTTGCAAAAACAAAAGGCTACACTCTGAGTGAAGCTTCAAGGTAAACAAGAAAGAGAAGAATGGGAACAATACTGAATAATATGTAGAACATATTATAAAAACAAAATAACCAGTGTTGTAAAAGGCAGTCTAGGCGGACGTCTAGGTGTCAGCCTAGGCGTAGGAGGAGCCTTGACCTCCTAATTTTGGCCGGAGCGACCAATCTTGGCGGCCCGCTCCGTCAATCTCCCCCCTTCCTCCTCTTCTGTGTAACTGATATACACAGAAACTTATCATATTGCGATTAAAACTGCATTATTTCTTTTCTCTTTTAGCTATGATCATAATGGATATGCATATGAACTATCTAATAGTTTTAAGTTTCGCATAATATGTATATTGATGCTCGCAGTTGAATAGAAGGATAAAAAAGTTAAAAAAGTGTCTGAAAGAGAATGACTTTTGATGCAGCTAAATCTTCTTAGGGTAAAATTGATGCGGTAAAAGCGAAGATACATGTTCTAGAATATTACTACTCTAGAATGTGATTGAAACTTTCAAATTCATAGGATCACTTATTTATTAGCATGTTGCGTAGATCTGAGGATCAATATTGTGGATATTATTAAACTCTAGGCATTTATCTTTAATGTGGAGTCCAGCACCAGTCTTCATAATTACAAGGTTTCACAATGAATACCCCTCTTAAGGTCATTCAAAGGAAGTTTCACTAGTGTCAAGACCAGAATTTAGTAAACTTGGCAAGCAGATAGTTTCGACTCAAAAGTTTTTATGCGGTAGTCGCCATGCTTAGCCTAATGAACTTAGCTGTTCAATGTTCAGGTCTGGTAACTGTCTTTTTTCTTTCTTCTTCTTCTTTTTTTTGGATGGTTGGCTAGGCTCATCAAGTATTAGGGAGGAGCTAACTGTTGTTTTTGTTGCTGGCATAATATGTTTTCTTTGGCTTCTTTCCCTGCATCAAGCCCAGACCTGTATAACGTGAGTCTAGATGACTGCAATCGAGCCATCTCTGGCTTTATGTGAGAGAATTATACTTCTCGTTTGATTGTTCTGACAGAGCACTTTTAGCAACACACAAAAAAAAAGTTTCTAAATTCTACCATAGTCAAATCTTTCAGTTGGCAGTTATACCCAGAAACCAGGAATGTTTATAACTTGACAATAGTCATCAAAATTGACGTATTTAGTTGAAAGAATGTTGATTTTTGTATGATTTCTTAATGAATCGTAAGCGTGAAAGATTATATTTTCGGTATGATTTCTTGACAATAGCCTTCTAACTTCAGTTAGATGCTTAATCTTAAGATGGTGGTCATCACTTCAGATAAACTTGACCGATACTTATGTTCGACCAACACAGGTTTAAAGAAATTTACACAAATATCCGACATGAAAGCGTCATAGGATTCTTTTCTGACAAGGATCTAGATGTCAGGATACCCTACTACACTATATATATGCATTTCGGTGGCCTTAGTTTCTTATTATGAAGTAGGTGTCATAGCAACAAAAGCATGACATCCATCAACAGTGTCATTGTTGATCGAGTCTCCTTTTCTGTGTAATTTGTGCTTATTACTTGGATTGTTCTGGTTGATAGTGACAGAATATAATATTTCCTACCATCATTGTTTATCTTATTATCATGTATAGTTGTTACCTTATTTATCTTATTACCATGTATAGTTGTTACCTTGTAATCTACTTACCATGTATAGTTGTTACCTAATAGGTCTCTACCTGTGAGATCTATAAATACTCTTGTATTCTCCTTATATCAATTCAATTCTAAAATTATATTTTTCTTTTATCTATTCTTGGTATCAGAGCCTCAAAGATCTGAGACCTAACCCTATCTCCTTCCCATGTTCTCCCGATCGGCCAGCCGCCAACCCCCCTTCTCTTTCTCCATGTTGACCGACAACAAAACTTCTTCCGTCACCGCTACTCTGTCCGGCATGGTACCCAACCCACATGATACTGCCAAGCCACTTCTTGCGGTCAATCTCAATCACTGCCTTAAACTCACTGCCACAAACTTCTTGTCGTGGCAACTTCAGTTTGTCACCACCTTGGAAGGATATAGCCTTGAAGGTTTCATCGACGGCTCTCATCCGTGTCCACCACCAACAATCACCATCGGCAATGTGGTCTTTGTCAACCCTGCCTTCCAAACATGGAAGCGTCAAGATCATCTCCTCTTCAATGCCCTCATCGAGACTCTCACGCCCACCGTTGTCCCTATGGTCAGCCGCACCCATACTATTCAAGAAGCATATGAAACACCCGTTGCCACCTATGCTACCCCTATTTGGGGTCATATCAAGCAAATCAAAACTCAACTCAAGAATCTCACCAAAGGCACCAAATCCATCTCTGAGTATCTTCATCAAGCCAAAAACCGTTATGATGAACTTGCCATACTTGGTGGATCACGAATACTTCATTGACGCAATTTGCGACGGCCTTGATGAAGGATACAAAGGTATTGTTGATAATGTTAAATACCGTGAAACTGCTGCTTCGTTTGATGAACTGCATGAAAAGCTCCTCAATCAAGAACTTGAGATTCAAGCCACCCAAATGAGCCTTCTTCCTCTTCCAGCCACAGCCAACACTGTCGAAACCCATTCTCACGACGGCGGCCTCGGTCGCGGTAGTCGTTCCTCGCAGCGGGATGGTCGTGGAGGTCGTTCCTCTCCTAGGCCATACATGGGCTATTATCAGGCATGCAACACACAGGGTCACACGGTGAAATACTTTCCTACGTTTCGGCTTCTCGCTACTCAACCCACGGATTCGCAATCTGTCACCTCCACCCATGGCCCTCCTTGGCAGTCACGGCCGAACACGGCGTGGTCCAGCCCCTCAGTCTACCAGTCGAGAGCTAACTTCTCAACCACCAATCCTAGTCCGCAACAATGGATTATGCATAGCGGGGTGAGTCACCACATAACCTCGGACCTTCAGAACCTCTCGCTACATGCACCCTACAATGGCTCGGATGAAGTCATTATTGGCAATGAGAATGAGATGCCTATCACTCATATCGGTTCTAGTAAACTCTCTATGTGTTCCATCAGTTCGTCAAAACCTTGTTTCTATCTCTCAATTTTGTTAATCTAATAAAGCCACTGTTGAATTCTCACCCACCTGTTTTAATGTTAAGGATCAACGTACGGGGGCAATTCTCTTCCAGGGGCAATCTAAAAATGGCATTTATCACTAGTCGTCTCTTGTTCCTGCGTCGTCCGCCACCTTCCCTCTCTTTGCATTCTCGGGTGTCAAAGCCTCTCTGTCTGACTGACATGGGTGGCTAGAGCATCCTTCCAGCCAAATTCTCAATAAAGTTTTAAATCAATTTAGTTTAGACACTACTGGTGCTACGTCGTCTTTATCAAATTGTAATGCCTGTCAGTGCAATAAAATGCACAAACTACCTTTTTCTGTCTCTACTATTGTCTCCTCTCATCTATTACATG